TCAGGTTCCATCGCCGAGGGATTCCAACTCCCGTCCTGTTCCTGGTTCCGTCACTGGGGGACGGAATCTCAGCCCTGACCCACGGTCCCATCGCTGGAGGAGGTGGGGGGGGGAAGGTCCACCTCCGGCCCCAAATCCCCTTCCAACCCCTCACGGGGGCGGTCTGCAGCTGCTTCCATCTCCGGTCCCGACCTCGCCATCCTTATTCGCGGGGCGGGGAGCCGGGCCCCGTTCCGATCCCACCCTTAACCCGGAGGGGAGGGCGGTGCAGCCCCAGGTCCGCCCCGTCCGTCCCCACGCTGCCGCCGGGAGCCGCGCTGCAGCCGCAGGCGGTGGGAGCGCAACGCGGGGTATGAGCGGAGCGCTGCGGGGTGAACGGAACGGATCGGCCCGGCCCGGTGAGCGGGGACAGCCGGCACCGAGCCGGGGGAGGGGGACGTTCCTATTAAGTAAAGGAACTAAAAATGCCTCCAAACCCCTTAAAACGGATCCGAAGACCGCAGCGGGAGGGCTACGCGGGCGCGGTGCGGACGGCTCGGGGTTCCACTGCTGCTTTCTGCCCCATTGCTCACCGCCTTAACCCGCTGGAAACTTTTTTACGCTCCGTCGCTCCGCTCCCCGGGGGGGTGACGGGGCTCTATACGGAAATTCCCCGTCCGCAGCTCTCGGGGTGCCCTCTTCCCATTCACCGCGGCTTTTCCTCCTTCGCGCTGCGTCCCGCCGTCCCCTCCCCCGTCTCTTCGGGGGTCTTTTCGTTCTCTTTGCTCCCTTCTCCCCTTTCTTTTTGGAAGCCTTTTAATTCCTTTCGGCACCTCCGAAAACACCTCCGCGCCGCGGCGTTGGGAGCGGGGCTTGGAGGTGAGGGGGGGACGAAGGGGAGCTTTGGGGGCGAAGCATCTCAGCGCTGTTTCTCCTTCGGTTTTCTTATCGCCTTTTCTTGTAAAACGCGTTTGGCGAGGCGCTGCTTTCCTATGCGAGCAGCGGCGGGGCTGCTGCCCTGAAAGACGGAGCGATGGCACTGCAGCCGGGCGCCTTCCTCAGTTCCTCATTTACGCCCTTGTGAACGGAGCTGTGCCCTATGGCCCTCAGCCAGCGGGGTGTGGAGTGACGGGATAACCCAGCATCCATCCCTTCTTCACCCTGAGCGTCCCCCATTTGGGAGTGATGAGCTGCAAACCCCTTTTGCTGCTGTGTAGGTGGATGCGCTCACCGTGTTGGGGTTCAGCCCTGTTTTGGGTTGAGCCCAACAGCTGTGTTATCTCCCAGCCTGATGTCATGTTGGTAGAATCATAGAACACCCCGAGATAGAAGGGACCTGTTGGGATCATTGTGTTGGACTCGATGGGTGATCCCTTACAAAGGGAGCGCTTGGAGTGGAGACCAAAGGATTAAATATGGGCCAGGTGCTGCTTGCCTCCACCCAAAGAGCTGGGAGCAGGGCCAGCCCAACAAAGGCAGCTTGAATTATGCGTGAGAGCATGTTCTGTTGGGTTTAATGACTTGTTGCTCATTTGGCTGTGGTTAATTGGGGCTGTAATGCGCTGCGGATGAGGATGGGAGGTGTTGGGACCACAAGAAGCAGAGGCTCAAGAGGGATAGATTCAGATTTGTGTGGATTCAGGGGATTTATTGGGGAGATTTTCTGCAAGCTTTTTGCAGGAGGTTGGGAAGGGATGGGGCAGGTGAAATGGAAGGGGGAACGGTTTGAAACTGAGACGGGGAGGTTTAGGTTGGATATGAGAAGGAAGTTTTTCAGCCAGAGGGTGATGAGGCACTGGAACAGGTTGCCCAAGGAGGTTGTGGATGCCCCATCCCTGCAGGTATTCAAGGCCAGGCTGGATGTGGCTCTGGGCAGCCTGGTCTGCTGGTTGGCGACCTGCACATAGCAGGGGGTTGGAACTGGATGGGCATTGTGCTCCTTTGCAACCCAGCCCATTCTATCATTCTGTGAAATGCCGAGCCTGGCAGCACCGTGTGCACAGGAGGAGGAGGAGGAGGAGGAAGCTTATCCTCTATGGAGCCATCCTGGAGGGAAACAGAGCTGCTTGGAAAGGGTAGATGAAAAGCACGCTGGTTTGTGAGGCTCTGGTTTCAGTGTGCTCCCCTCTCCTGGCCATGCAGGCTCAGTACCATCTGCTGTTTCCTTTGGGTTACGGAGGATTTTGGCTGCACTCAAATGATGCTGGGTTGCTCTCTTCCCGACGTCTTGAGCAGCTCCTGATCCAGCGCAGGGATTTTGATGAGTCGATGGAACGCGTGCAATTAGGGCAGGGAAAACACCCACGCTGTCCTTGTGGCCTTTGCAAAGGAGCCATCAGGAAATATGCAGTAAATGGAGCGTGGTTTAGTCCTCCGGCACAAATGGTGCTTGTGCCAGAGGAGGCACCAGCAGATGCAAGGGGTTCTGCCAATGAGTGAATCCCCATTAATTACCAGGGACGGCCCATTCAACCCCACCGTGGCCACAATTGACTTGCTTTGGTGACTTGGGTATGAAATTTGATGGGAGGGCAGTGGGAAGGCTGAGAAAGGGGCCTGGAATTTGGTGAGTTGAGAATGGGTTGGAGGGGGCCCTGAGCTCCCTGCTGCAATGCCTGGTGTGGTGGTCAGCAACCCTGCCCACAGCATGGGGCTGGGACTTGGGGGTCCCTCCCAACCCGAGCCATTCAGTGATTCATGTCCAACCCAGCACTCCTGTGTGTCCCTTGGGTGCCCATGACCTTGGCATGCGCCCTCCTCCGGTGACAGTCCCCTCCAGTCGATGGGATTCAGTGTTCCCTGCCCAGCTGGATCCTGTTACAGGAGCATTTTGGGATGTGGGCATCACATGGCTGTGCCCTCGGGTGTCTGTATGCCCATGCACATGGCTGATGGGATCACAGTGCCAACGTGCCACTGCCTTTCCATGTCACTGATCCAGACCAGCTTTGGGTGCCCAAACCTCAGCTCCATCCGTGGATGAAGCCATGCCTACAGAGAGAGCCAGCTGCTGTCACTAGTTTCATTGAGACTGGGCAATACTCTCACACATAAGATCTGATTTTTGGGTGGTCTCGTGTGGAGCCAGGGGTTGGATTCCATGATCCCTTAACTTGGAATATTCTCTGGTTCTAAGACTCCTGGATGGAGGAAGCCAGGCAGGGCGATGCCCTGAGGCTGCTGTGCGTGAGGACACCTGGAAAGGTGTGCAAGGACAACTGCAAGAAGGAAATCCTCCTGCCACAATCTCAGGAAGGACCAGGGGAGCTGGTGCAGCATCTGCTCCTCCCCAGAGTGTTGGGGTGGGTTTTGCTTTTGGTTGTCACTGAAGGATTTTTCCTTCTCAGTTCCTTCGGTTATTTCCATTGCTTTCTCCCTCCCATTGTCCCCCCTGTGTTGGTTGTGTCCCCTGCCACCCACTTACTGCAGATGCAAAGGCACAGGGCTGGACAGCAGCCACGGCCCTGACAGACACAGTGGGTTCTGTTCAAGGAATTCTGGGCAAAATTGAGGAGAAAAAAAAAAATGAAAAGAGAGAAAAAAAAAAGAAAGGCTTTTGCATTTGCAAAAGGAAGCAAAGCGAGAGCATGACTGCAGGGACAAGGCTGCCTTGTGAGCAGGGTTCTGTCTCTGGTTGCCAACCCCGGAGCTCTGTTTGCTCATTTTTCCAAGGAAGGAGATGTGCAGATTGGCACATCCGTGTTCTCACAGGGCACAGTCCCCTCCTCAGCTCACAGATGCTCTCCAATGCGTTTTTAGGATTTCTAGTTGGGGCTACGGGACCCTGCAGGGAGGTGGGAATAGGGCTGGGAGCTGGAAGATGGGGTCTTCACAATGAGGGCAACGAGGCACAGGTGGTGCTGCCCCATCCCTGCAGACCCCCGAGGCCAGGCTGTGAGCACTGATGGAGCTGTGGGTGTCCCTGTGCACTGCGGGCAGTGGAACCCAATGGCCTTTAGGGATGCCTTCCAACTGCAGTGATTCTATGATTCTGTGGTTCTCTGATCCCTCATGCTCAGATAAAGGACACCTTCATCCCAACTCTTCTCACCCAAATTCCGCTCTCTGAGCTCCTGCTGTGGTTGCATCCCCCATAACCCCTGTTCCCTGTAATGGTGCAGCAGCACAGGGCTCAGCCCATCGCTTCACCGGAGGTCAGCCCGGTTTGTTTGATGGGAAATGAGGCAAATCCATTTTAATTTGATTCCTGGCTGACGAGCTGGCTGGGCGATCGTGTGTTGGCCGGGTCGTGGGCACAAAGGGGCCCTTGTTCCTCCTGGCACAGACAGTGCCAGACCCTGTGTGTCTGCAGACACTCTTTCTAGTCCATTTTTCTCCTATCAGCTGCTCGTTCCCATGCATAATCACTGTGGGTGGCTGAGCACAGAAAGGAGCATCTTTGCTGTTCTGTAGGACGCAATTTCTGCTTGGCCCTGGTGAGAAGGGAAGCTTGGGGCAGCTGGGATTTGTTCAAGGCAAGTCACAGACCCATAGAATGGCTTGGACTGGGGAGGACCTTAAAGATCATCTGATTCCTACCCCCCTGCCATAGATAATTGTAGAATGATAGAATGGCCTGGGTTGCAAAGGAGCACACTGCTCATCCAGTTCCAACCCCCTGCTGTGTGCAGGTCGCCAACCAGCAGCCCAGGCTGCCCAGAGCCACATCCAGCCTGGCCTTGGATGCATCCAGGGATGGGGCATCCACAGCCTCCTTGGGCAACCTTGGTTACCCCTCTGTGCCCCAGATGCAAAATGAGGATAAATAAGACTCTTTTTATGCACTTACCCAAAGTCCTCCACACTCAGGACTGCTGCTCACATCAGCTGTGAAGTCCTATAGGGATCCCATAGGGATCCACCTCTCAATCATTGTCACCTGCACTGAGCCGGCAGTGCTGGTCAGGCTGTGAGCCACACGTGTGGGCTATGTCTGTGCATAGCCTTTGGATGGACGTTGGGAGGTTGATGGCAACATCATCAGGAGGAGTGTAAATACAGTGCTGCAGCACTGGGTTTTCCTTATCTAAGTCAACTCTTCCAGGTATTTCTCATCTTCTTACAGCCTCTTTCCTTCCCCGTAGGGTGATGGCGAACCTATCAACTCCTCCAGCCTGGTCCAGAGTCATCAACAGCTCCTCTGTTGCAGGCAATGCTGACAACAACACCTACAGGTGTGTGTTTGATGAGGACTTCAAGTACGTCCTGCTGCCCGTCTCCTACGGCATCGTGTGCGTGGTGGGGCTCTTCCTCAACCTGCTGGCCCTTTATGGCTTCATCTTTAGGATCAAGACCTGGAATGCCTCCACCACGTACATGTTCAACCTGGCCGTGTCCGACACGCTCTACGTGGTCTCCCTGCCCCTCCTGGTGTATTACTATGCCATGGGGGACAACTGGCCCTTCGGAGTGGGTTTGTGCAAGATAGTCCGCTTCTTGTTTTACACCAACCTCTACTGCAGCATCCTCTTCCTCCTGTGCATCAGCATCCATCGCTTCCTGGGCATCTGCTACCCTCTGAAGTCCCTGCAGTGGGGACACGTCCGCTACGCCCGTAGGGTGTCTGTCATCATCTGGGTGGTGACCGTGGTTTGCCAATTGCCCGTCCTCTTCTTCGTCACCACCAGCATGAGACGTGGCACCATCACCTGCCACGACACATCCAGCAAAGACCTCTTTGGCCAGTTTGTCATTTACAGTTCGGTGATGATGGTGCTTCTCTTCTGCATCCCCTTCCTCATCATCATCGTCTGCTACTGCCTCATGGCCCGCAGGCTGTTGCAGCCTACACGGGGCATGTCCCGGCTCTCCCGATCCAAAAAGAAGTCGGTCAAGATGATAATCATTGTCCTGGTGGTCTTCAGCGTTTGCTTTCTTCCTTTCCACGTCACCCGTTCCTTGTACTACTCCTTCCGGAGCTGGGATTTGAGCTGTCAGACCCTCAATGCTATAAATTTAGCCTATAAGGTGACCCGGCCCCTAGCCAGCACCAACAGCTGCTTGGATCCCGTACTGTATTTCTTAGCAGGACAAAGATTTATGAAGCTCACAGGCAACAAAATCCCATGGAAGCCTCAAAATGAGATGGCATTGGGGACTGTGCCCAACGGTCCCCTGGGAACCAGCAACGACACGGACACGACGTCCAAGGAGATGAAATCCTAGCTCTGCCCCACACCCTGTGGCAGTGGAAGGGTTCATCCCACGTGTGATGGGAGGTGAGGATGCTTCAGGGCCAGAGGCCTGTAGTGTTTGCAGTGCCTTGGCTCCCATCAGTATTGCTGTTTGTAGCATGCATTTTCAGGGAGGTGATGCCGTGGTGACAGGGACAGGCTCCGTCCCTTTGCCTCTTTCCCTGCCTGTTTATCTACATGTGGCCCCTCCCCAGCGGTCAGCCTGGGTGACCTTCCAGCGTGGTTGTTGCAAAATCTGCTAAAATTCACACCCTGGATGCCTTAGACTGTTTTCCAAAGAAGAAAACGCTGCGTGCGAAAAAACCCCATAGAGAAATCAGTCTGCTTTCCTCCAGGTTCCCTGGCACATAAAGGAGCGTGCGTTTATCAGAAGTCTTCCCATGCCTTGGCAAGGGAAAAAAGACTTTTGATTCATGGGGAGTGTCAGCTGCGGTTGTGATAAACAGGTTGATAAAAGGTCAAGTGCAAACACTGCCTGCGGCGGGGATGGGACGCCCGCTGCTTTGCATCCCTGGGGAAATCATCTTGGAATCATGAAGGTCAGAAGAGCCCTCCAAGATCCCCAAGTCCAACCCCAGCCCAGCCCCACCACAGCCCTCGGTGCCCCGTGTGCCCCTTTCCTGAGCACCTCCAGGGATGGAGACCTACCACCTCGCTGGGCAGCCTGTGCCAACGCATTGCCACTCTTTCAAAGATTTTTTTTTCCTGTTTTCCAACCTGAAACCCCTCCCTGGTGCAGCTTGAGGCCATCACCTCTCATCCCATCGCTGTTACCTGGGAGAAGAGATTGACCCCCACCTTGTCACCACCTCCATTCAGGGCTGATGCTCTCTCAACTCCAGCCCCTTTCTGAAGGATTCCCATTAAAAGGGGTGCTGGTGGGGAGCACTCTCCATCCCACTGGGATGTACTGATACAATCAAGCTGGTCCTCGATTTCTCCAGTGAGGTCAACATCACAGAGAAACACTGGTGTTTCCCAACAGCAACATTCATGTCTGAAAAGCTTGTAGGAACCAGTAGCTCTCTCTGTGCTGCTGCCTTTAATAGTCACCTCCAGCTCTGTGAAAGAGAGGGTGAGCTCTTTGTGCCTTGTTTTTAATCATCTTACAGGCGTCTCATGGTTCCAGCAAAGGGGTGAAGACCATTGCCCATTCCATTGGTTCAATATTGATGCATCCTATCACTGCTCCCCATCGCTGCCCAGAGATGTGGTGGATGCTCCATCCCTGGAGACTTCCCAGGAGAGGCTGGATCAGGCCCTGGACAACCTGATCTACCTCTCCATATCTCTGTTCACTGCAGGGAAGTTGGACTGGATGGCCTTTAGAGGTCCTTCCCAACTCTTAGGATTCTATGATTCTATGATTTTCCCACTTGGAGACACTTGACATATCCCATACTGACAGCATGGGCCTCCATAGGGAAACATGGCAGTGCTGACTCTGCTCTTAGGAGCCATGTGTGTGAACACGGTGCTGAGCTTAACCCACAGCCCTGGATGGGCTTGCATCCCCACCAGTTCAAAGTCAGCTGGAGGAAAGGGCCACCAAACCCTCCACCAGAAGGTCCACGTGGCCCTTCTCTCCCATTGCTGGGTTAAGAACTGGAGAGCCCAGACACGCAGTTTCCTGGCCCAGCCCTGCCACGAGGATGCTGATTCCTCACCCCCAAAAATGAAAATTGCTCCTTCTGCAGAACTGGTTGAGTCCTATTTCAGAAAAACGGCCCAGGCTCTATTTTAGGGTTAGACAAACACTTTTGGTCCCAGTTTAGACTGATTCCTCAGACCTCTTCGTTTCTCCCATCCCTCCTGCCTATGAAGTGGCTTGGTGGGGGTAAGGGCACGGAGATAAAGAAGTAATTCGGACATTCCTGTGGTCTCAGCTTGGTGGAATTGTGGTCCCACGGAGGGCTCTTGTCCTGACCCACAATATCACGGCCACAGAAGACAAAGGAGAGGACTGTCTCCATGCTGAGCACCATCAGCAAAGGAAAACAGAGCATTTGTAGGGTGAGTCATCTCATCCTGGAGAGGATTGTTAGGGGGGTTGGGTTAAGGTAGGCGTTGCACCTTTTTCTCCCCGTGGAGCTTCATGGGGAAAGTTACAGGCAGTCACTGAGGTGAGACAAATAATAATCACAGAATCATAGAATGGCCTGGGTTGAAAAGGACCACAATGATCATCCCGTTTCAACCCCCTGCTGTGTGCAGGGTCACCATGAATCCAAGTGAATCCATGAATCCATGAATCCAAGTGAAGCGCTGGGTTGGTACGAACCTTTCTCCCAGCCAGGTCTTGCCTGCTCACCCACCATTGCCCAAAAGCAGCGTGAGCACCAAGCTCCGTGCTCTGAGTAACTCAATAAACCACGCTCCCAGCTCTCTCCTTTGCCCCTTTGGCACTCCCACCCTCACCACCACCTCTGCTATTGGGGTCCCAGTGGTTCTCCTCCAACGCGGTTCGGGCGGAGAGCTGATGGAGAGGGCCCGACTGGAACTGTTCATACAGGTTTTGTGTTCGTTTGTCAAAGCACTAACTTATACACACACACACACAGAGAAAAGTGGGTTTTGTGGTAATAGCTGTACATTTTTATTTTTGTAACGTGCAGACGTTTCTTAGAGTGAATAAATATATTTCTATCGTGAGCGCTCTTCTGCCATCTCCTCCAATGTGTACGGAGAAGAGGAGGGTACCAGGGGTAGAGGCTGAATGTTGTAGATGTGTTCTCTAGGTATGTTTTGTAGACATGTTCTGAGCTCCAGATGCAGTCAGATCCAGGAGGGTGAGATCCGACCCATGTCTCTGCAATAGATACCTCCAGCAGCGAAGCTGTCGAGTCCATGGGGGAGCAGACAACTTTTGTTTGTGCCACATCCACCCCCCAGCCCTGGTGGGCAGCTTCTCCAAGGCTTCTCCTGTTGAAGAACAGAAGTTCTCAGGTCCGTTTCTCCTAACCCATGTTCTTTCCCCTTCACCCAGCTGCTCGTGGGGCCACCAACAGCTCGTGCTGGAGTGAAACCTCTTCTTCTCAAAAACTTCCCCCTTTCCTCTGCAGAAACCAAGGGAGGGGGTTCCCAATGCCTAACCACAGCCCTCGTGAGAAAAGTGCCTTTTGTTTCTCACTGCAGTTCATCCTCTGCTCTCTGCCCAGCCCAGCACTCGCTGTGTATCCGTGCTCAGGATGCATTCATCCCATTGGATGAATTTATTGCAGGCTGCAATCAGATCGTATTGAAATCTGCCTGGCAATAACCCGGGCAGCTCAAATCCCTTCGCTCTCATCCTCATTCCAGTTTCTTCAGCCTTGAGATTAATTCTGCTCCTTTTCACAGCGCCTGGTCTTCTGGCAGTATCACAGTGACATTTGCAGGAATGGGATCCCATGGAAAACGCTCTGCTTTCGGTTTTCCTTCCTTTACAAAACTTCCCAGGTGCTGAAGCAGCAAAACTCAAAAGCGTACACCCAGAGGAAGAGCTGCAAGAAACAAATCAATTACCCGGTGCTCTATGCTCTAACATCCTGCTTGATTTCCAGCCCACGTTTGAGACTCTCACCCCAAGGCGAAAGCCACGAGGATGGAGCACGTGCCCAGCTTTCACTTGTGGGCTCTTCTGCATCACACCCAAGCATTTCGTGCCCTGACTCCTCTGCACCCAATGCCAGCACTGACTCGTGTGAGTCACTCAAACCCAGGAACGAGAGTTAAGCAAGAACAACGCGCGCAGACGGGGAGCAGACGGAGGTTGCGGAGTTATTTCAGAGAAACAAAGAGAAACCAGAAAACCCACTTTTTTTGTAAGTGCCTCTTGGCGCCGGGAGCAGGAAGAGAAAGTTGAGAGTGCTGCTGGTCTCCTGCCAAGCCAACCCATCTGCCCCATGGCGTGGGTGGAGGCACGAGCTCCTTGTCTTTCTGCGCACCATCCCAGCATCCGGGCTCTTCCTTCCCTCCGCATCCCTTCCAGTTGGCAGAGTCAGCCATATCATTACTGTAAGCACTCGGTGCGTCCATTCGTTTCTCAGGGAGTGAGCCCTGGCTTCATTTGCCCTCTGGTTTTCCTCTTTGAGGCTGAATTTTTCTAAGGATCGAAGCTGTGTGTCTCCCCTCACCCCAAGTCATTTCTGAACCCATTCGCCGTGTTGTTCAACTCCAACCCCGAGCTTTAAGGGACCCATCGTAGAATTATAGAATTGCTCAGGTTGGAAAAGACCTTCAGGATCATCAAGTCCAACCACAACCGTGATGACTGAGCCCAACCCCCATCCCCACACAGCATCCCTCAGCCCCAACCCTATGGCTCAGAGCAGCATCCCAGCACTCCCTGAGCAATGACCAACGATGCCATGACCAGTGATGAGTGGGGAAAGGTGGTAGGTGGTGTCCCAAAGTTCAGTCAAAATATCTTTTCTTTTTCTCTTTCTGGGATCCAACAGTCTTTGGCTTCTCCAGATGGGGTGGATGGGGCAGCCCCAAAGGAGGATCCCTCAGCATCTGCTCTTCCTTCAAAATGGAGTGAGATGTTAGATGGTTTTCGTGCTGAAGTATGCCACAGCTTTCAGAGCTGAAGGAAACAGTTTAAAGAATGGAGGTGGATGTAAATAAATAAATAACTAAATTAATAGAAAAGAAAATGGGGAAAAAAAAAAGAGAGGATGTGAAAAGAGGGAAGTTTGGGGCTCAAACACGGCTCCACAGCTCGGAGCCTCCACGATGTGGTAACCTGAAGGAAAGGAAAATAATGTCATTAGGTTCCACGCTCCAGTCTGAACAACTGTTTAAAAAGGAAATTAAATGGAAAAAATTCCTTCTCCCCCCAATCTATCCTCTTTTCCCTCTTTATCTCTTGTTTTGTGCCATCCAGTCTGGGGCTGTTAGAATTAATTAAACCAATTAATCCAAAAAGGAAGATTTTTTTCCATTGAAAGGGAGAGGCTGGGCTCTGCAGAGCCAGAGGACAGCCTGCTTGCAGCCCTGAAGACGGTGCAATAAAACCCTTTTATTACCCTTTCCAGGTTGGGACGTGCGGGGTGGGAGCCCATTCAGCCCCTGCAGCTGTAATGCACGTGTGCCACTCCTCTCTGTGTCATTTGGGTTTAATCACTGACATCTCCAAGTCTTCCACCAGGCCCCGTGCAGCCAGCTGGGACCTCAGCTGGAAATCTCATTTTCCCCCAAATTCAGGGGTCTAATCTTTATGGTTTGAGGGTATCTCAGTGTTCCCATTGGGTTTCGGTGGAGCTTAGAAGTAGGGCTGTGGGATGCTGCCTTTTCTCAGGGGGTTCTTTACGTAGAGTGATGACTGCAGAAAAGTGGGATCCAGCAGGGGGTTTCCTCCTCATTGTCCTCTGATTTTTTAATGAATATAGTTTTTTAACTGAATCCATCTTCAGCAGAGTCCTCAGCTGGCACCAATAGGATGTGGCAGTGGGGAGCTGGGGGTCACCATCCGCCCTGTGCCCATTGTCTGCCATGATGTCATCCATCGTCTGGATGGCCATCACCTGCTGTGAGGTCCTCATCCACCTTGAGGTCCTCGGCTGCCTTGATGTCCCCAGCTGCCTTGTGCTCATCATCTTCCCTATGGTCATCATCTGCCTTGATGTCATCCATCATCCATCATCCACCATCCATCATCCATCGTATAGGTGGCCATTGCCTACTGTGAGGTCATCACCTGCTGT